TAATCAATGCGTAGCTGCGTAGGAACATGAGCGAGATTTATCATCAACTGACCGCTGGACGGTAGGTACCTGGGTGGGCGAGCGACAATACGTAAGCGGTGGCATATGGTTCGATTGACAGAGGAGTGGGGAACGGTCAGACGTAGGGGAAAGGTTCAGGCTGAACCGTTCAGCACAGCGCAGCGCAGCGTCAGTCACCGGGTGGGGAAGAGAGTCCGGGAGGGGACACTTCCCCTCGAGTGAAATAGAAAAAGGCAGAATCCTTCGAAGTTTATATTAATGATGAATTAGATGAATTTTCCAGCAGGCTATGTACTTTTAATACCCCGATTGGTTTGTATAGATTTAAAAGACTCCCATTTGGAATAAATGGTGGATCAGAGTATGCACAAGAACGTAACACAACAGCGTTTAAAGATGTTGAAGATCTTTTAATTTTTATTGATGACTTCATCATAGCATCTAAAACTGAAAAGGAACATGATGAAACAATAACCAAATTTGCAAACGTCGCTAAGGAAAACGGTGTTAAATTTAAACTGGCAAAATTCCAATATAAAAAACCATCAGTTAAATTTGTAGGTTTCGTTTGGTCTGGAGAAGGAAGAGAAATAGACCCAGATAGAGTAAGAGCTCTCTATGCGATAGAGGATCCCACGAACAAAAAAGAACTCATGAGTATTTTGGGATTCATCAATTATGTTAGAGATTTTGTACCTAATTTGTCAGGAGATTCAGCTCCACTAAGAGAGTTATTAAAGAAAGATGTAAATTTTGCGTGGAACTCTTATCATGCTAAAATTTTACAGGAAATTAAAGATAAAATTGCGGCAGCATCCGCCCTGTGTAACTTTGACCCAACGAAACAAATAACACTTCAATCGGATGCTTCGAAATCAGGTTTAGGTGCCTGTCTCATGGCCGATGGAAAACCAGTTGCTTATTTTTCTAGAGCTTTAACTGAAACTCAACGCACTTCATGGGGCCAGATAGATAAAGAATTCTTTGCTATTGTATCTGCTCTAGAGAAGTTCTATCAATATTTGTATGGCAATGAAGTAAAAGTGGAATGTGATCATATGCCAATTATACATTCAGTTAAGAAGCCAATTCACAAAATTAAATCCAATCGCTTAAAAAATTTTTGTCAAAGATTGTATAACTTTAGAATTAGAATAATCTTTAAGCCAGGCCGCAAAATGGTCATCGCGGATTTGCTATCTAGACAGTATTTAAATGATCCAGTGCAAGATGACCCAGAATTAGACAATTATGTTCATTCATTAAATATAGAAGAATTAGATACTCAAAATGATCTTCAAGAATTCCAAATTTCAACTAAAGATGATGCGGTCTTAACACATCTCAGAGAATACCTATTAAATGGTTGGCCTGATAGGAAGGAATTGTGGCCGGACGAGTTAAAACCCTTCTGGAAAATTAAAGATAGCCTATATCTAAGTGACAATAGCATAATATATTATGATGACAAAATTGTTGTTCCGTCTAATCTCCGTCACAAAATTCTAGCGCTTCTTCATAAAGGTCATTTCGGCATCACAAAAACTATGATGAAAGCTAATGAATTATATTACTGGCCAGGAATGGCAACTGAAATTGTAAACTTCTTGCGTGCTTGTACAGTCTGTGAAAAATTCTCACCCAATAACAAAAAGCAAAAATTGTTACAAATTCCATTACCTGAAAATGTATTTGAAGTCATAGGTCTTGACTTTGCTGAAATAGGTAAAAGTTACTTAATTTTAGTAGATTACTTATCCAAATGGATGGAGATCTTAGAAAGATCCTCACATTCCGCTCAATCAGTTATAACAGCCTTAAAACCAATATTTGCAACTCACGGTTACCCAAAAATTGTAATATGTGATAATGTACCCTTTGATGCAGCAGAGTTCAAAAAGTTTATATCTGACCATAATGGTAAGGTGGTAACTACCAGTCCTTGTTATCCACAGGCTCATGGGATGATAGAAGTATATGTAAGAATTGCTAAAAAGATTATTTTAAAAAGTTTGGAAACCAAAACTGATTTATATGAAATGTTACTAGAATATAGAAATATGCCACTAGCCAGTGTAAATGTTAGCCCAGCCCAAATTTTACTAAGCCGCAGGCTTCGCAGCAATCTACCCATTGATTCAAGGTTACTAAAACCCAAAATTTTAAATTATAGAACAAGAATGGTAGAAAACCAAGTCAGAGTTAAAGAACTGTATGATAGACATGCCCCAAGAGCCCCACAAAGTTTTCAAAATGGGCAAATTGTTGCAATTAAGCAAGGGAAATTTTGGGAGAAAGGAACCATCTTAAACCATGCGGATACCCCAAGATCCTATTGGATAAAATTAAACAATGGAAATGTAATCAGGCGTAATGACTTTCATATAAAAGTTTCGAGTACTTCTACTCCAGCCCATGATCAACGACACAATTTTTTATTTGATCCAATAGAACAGGATGACCTCCCTGAACAACCTGCGGATAATCCGCAACCACCTATAATTCAGCAAAATTTACCAATCGAACGTCCAATGCGTGATCGGAAACTGCCGGTCTGGATGGCTGATTATTGTTAAGTTCATTATACTTGTAACTTCTAATAAAATTTTCAAGGGACCATATTAAGTAAATCCCATTCTCTTCATTCACATTCAATTCTCAGTATTACTTAATTAAAACTCAATAAGAGTAACCAGTATTTCTTTAAAAAATGTTCTGTAATCAATACTATGTAATGTTAAAACTTTCAAATGTATAATCTGTAAACTATTCTATAAATACTCTCATATGAGTATCTAAATGATAAGTAAATTTTCAATACTGTTCTCTAATCCCGACGCTATGATGCTAAAAAAGAAAAAAGGGGAGATGATGTATCTGTATAACTTGATGCATATGTATCCGGGCGGCGCTCAAGCCAGGACTCAAGCATAGGAGCGACCCATAACCAACTCCAGATAGAATGCCTAGAATGCCTCGTGTTTCATGTAGCAGAACCGTGAAAGCCTCTTTATTGTATTTTCAATAAAACCCCAGTCTGTCGTCTCAACAATATCATTGTGCTTATTCTCCCGTTTTCCCCCCGAAACTATACACAAATCAATTGTTTTTTTGGTTTTTCTCTTTTCATTCTCGCCACAATTTAAGTGTTGTGCAGTTTCTTTATCTAAAATATGTGGTCTTGAATTCATTCAGGAGTCAGAAGTTTACCTTTCTTTTAGTATTACAGCCCTTTGACCCCTCAAACTTCACCGATATGACCTCATGTAGTTCAAGGTTTCTCTGGCCCGAACCGAGTGATTACACATCTGAGGTGTGTCTCATGGTTCTTCAAATTAGCAGTTTAGAACTAAATTAGGGACTACAGTGACTCAATCCAGTTCTGCTTTCTTGTTCAATGTTTGTTATCAGTGTCTGTCCTTTGACGTGACTAATCTAGTGCATGCACTGTTACGCTATAAGTACAGGTATTATTGCTTTTTTCCTGCTGTCAGACCTTTTTCTTAAGCCTGCTGATTCACCACAGAATCTGCCCTAGTTGTGTAAATAATTTGGTGTGTAGTTATTGAGTTAATACCTCCTTGCGGTGATGCAAACTTTCTCAGATCCGTCATAAGTAGGTATTGCATTTAGACGATCACTCGGACCAGATGAAATTACCGCTGTAGCAGCTTCAA